CTGTATACTGAGAGAGAGAGAGAGAGAGAGAGAGAGAGAGAGAGAGAGAGAGAGAGAGTACATTAAATTCTGTAGAAATTATTTATTTTCAAAGAACAAAATAGTTATAAATGGTAATATTTTTTTGAATTCCTCATATTTTCGTGATCCGATTTTGAACATTTCGTACTATTATTCATGCAATCTTAAGAATTTTCGAATGAAATGAAATCAAGCAAAGGCACGCTACACATGGATTTCGCTGTTTGTATACTAAAATATCAAAATGACTAAAATAACAGTAATATACTAAAATAACAAACGATTTCGTAAAGCGAATGCGTTCATTTTTCTTACCTATAACATTATTTCTAAACTTTTTACATGTCTTTACTGTTTTGCATTTACGCTGCTCGTTGTTCTCATGCAAACCCATAAAATCTAGTAACAACTAGAAATTAAGATAAAAATATTCTGCAGGGATTGCAAAAGATATAAGTGACAGACATAAATTAAATTATTTCTTTATTCATTTCAACTGGTTGAAAATTATGCATCCATACTCTTGAATTATTTTCTATTCGTTTTCTTTCATAAATACCTACAATACCTATTGCAATCACTAAAATTTTAATCCGAAAATGATTGTCTTTTTTGAAATGATTATTTGAAAATCATTATTAGACTGCGAATCCTCTAGCAAAATAAAAATTTGCTGCATCCGTTGCAATGAAAAGAAAATGCATGTGTCTCGATTAATTTCAATCAGTTATCAATAATACAATCAAATTGTTCAATATTTCTAATAGAATTTATACAATTTTCTATAAATATATATACAGTCTATAATTGTTAGACCACGGATTTGATGCATTTGTACCAAGAATGAACGGTTGAAACAGGAAATTGATATTTTTTAGAAAATTGTATATATAATACAAAAATATCAATTTCCTGTTTCAATCGTTCATTTTTGTTACAAATGCATCAAATCCGCGGTCTAACAATTATAGACTGAAAGTAACTTTTATATTAGTTATTGATATCTAAAAATGAAAACAAAAAGAAACGCTATATTTTTAAAACACTTTATTTTTGTACTTTCTATTATTTCCATCATACATAGAAATACAAAATTATGGTGCCTCGGTAACTTTTTGTTCAAATATCACCAGAAATGTAAAAATTACTTCGACTCTATAATTCGCCCATCGTCAGTTCTCCTATGTTGTAACGAGTTTCACCCGATTACCATTTATTCAAATTTCTTTCCTTATCTGTTTACCAGCCGTATCATTCTGTTCGACATATGAGATACAAAGGTCTCGTGAAAATATTGAAATAATTAAGTGTCGTAAGTACATTTTCCAAAAACATCCAGCTAGCTATTTGAACATTTACATTTCCACATTACATTATATCATTATATCAAAGCCTGGTGTTATCGGCAGTCTGCGGATCTGCATGCAAAATAAAAATTCTCTACCACGATTGTGCAACAGAGAGGCAGGAGTTAGGAAAGAATCTTTTTTTCTCATTCCTGAGGTTTCTAATCGGTTTGAAAATAATGGTACAGCATTGTCAGGTTTTCGTCTTGCATTTATTGTGCTCCATTCGACCCACTCATTTTTCACATAAATGCAGCAATAAAATCCGCGGTCCAGCTATCAGTTATCAATATCCTTCAATTAAATGAAACCCGAGATCCTAACATATTGGGATTTTAAAATAAATTGCCACTTTCAAAATAAACGGATCGATCGAATAAATAAATAAATAAATAAATAATTATTCACGGCACCGTATGCCTGAGAATCGGTAGAACTGCACAGCGGGCTATCCTTTCGTCCCGGAATGCATGCGAGCTCGATGGAGCCGAGCTAACGCGTGTTTTCTATCGCAGGAGCCGTAGCCCGGTCAATTAAGGACCCACTTTCGAGGCTGGCGCGAGTGAAACCGTGAACACCTCGCTGCAATTCACTGATTCGCGTTCCCCGGAGGAGCGTTGCTTCTTTTCGGCTCTCCGCTCCGCGTCCTCGTCACTTTTCGCTGGTCGGCCCGGCCGTGGAGTCGAGCGCGCGGCCGCGTGTCGAGTTGCTCTCGCTTAGAACTCGCTTTTCCCTATCTAAACACGTTTTATCACGTCGCTTATTATTATTATTGTTATTATTATTGTTATTACTATTATTATTATTATTATCATCGCCGGTGCGCCGAGAAATTTCCCGAGATAACAATCCACGCGGATCGATCCTAAAAACCGATGTAACGTCGCGAAGCAGTTCCGCGCGCGAACATTCGAAGAACCCTCTCGCAGAGAGATTCCGTGATCTGTGACGAAGGGGTGAGTGATCGAAGAGATGATCGAGGAAGAGACATGGTGAATTTATACGGACATTGCTCTGCTCGGTGAGTGAAGCCGTCGATTGCTCTTGTGCCGGCGATTATCCTCGTTATCGAGCAGTGCCCGGCGAGCTTTTTCGCTTTAGACGAAGCTGCGATTTTTTTTGGTCTTCGGTGGACTCGTGAACAGTGATTTCTCGAGCATTTTCTTTCCGGGGGAGGCGGAAAGTGAAGGTCGCGGCAGTGGTTTTTATTTTCGGGGACGTCGGTACAGTGATCTTTACTTAGAATCGCGTGACACAGCAATCTGAGACGAGAGAACAAAGGGATCCGGATATGTCCTGGCCGTCGGCGTTCGTCGCTGCCTCGAACGAACCGTTGCTTTTTGTACCGGTGTGTGTCAATCTTTTATGTTCCTCCATCGAAAAAATTTTAGTGCGACCGAAAGACCGCGCGGAGCCTATGCGCGGAATGAAAATTTTTCAGCGCCGATTGCGAGAGACTGTTAACAAAAGACACGTTAACAAAAATGCGACAACACTTTCGAATCGTTTTTTCGAACCTCGATTTTTCTTTCTCGAGTCTTAACCGCTTTTGCCATAAACGCGTCAAATCCGCGGTCTGCTTGATTAAACAAATGGAAAAAGAGGATTAATTTCACCGAGACCTTGAAAATTGCGCGTTGTTGTGTAGATCATTTACCGCGAATAGCAAGTGCTCTTGCATTTGTTAAGAGTTGTTTTGTTAAGCAGTTATGATATATTTGAGACAATTGATTAACAATTTTTTAGAAAAAGTACACCGACAAAATGTTTTCGAGTCGAGTCACTTTACAGATTTCAGTCAAATTAACAGAAAATGATTTGGGAGTAGTTCGAATATTAATTAATAAATATTAGTAAATATTATAAAACTAATAATATTTATAATAAATATTTACTATTATTTACAACAACTAATAATTTTTATTTATAATATAATATTTATAATAATGTAATTATAATTAATTAAAATATAATATAATATGATAATATTATAATATAATTATACTGTTATAATGTAATTATAATATAATATTTATTTGTAATAAATATTAAAAATAT